CTGAAGCCAAGGTACTTGTAGTTTCCCTCTCTGCTCATAGAAAAGTATCGTGTTGAAATAAAATTGTATGTAAATGAAAAAAACTTCCAAGAATAAACTTATTTATGTTATTGTTTGTCAGTTTTTTAAGTTAAAGGGAGACTAAATAGTAAGGTAAAAATTGAAAATTGTCAATACTGACCAATTGCCAGAAAATGAACAAGGAGACCAATAGTTACTCCTAAAATTGCCATCACTCCAAGAACAATAAGGATCGTTGTCCATAGTGGCCAGGATCTTCTCTGGGGAGATATGCCAAGCCTATGAAAGGGGAAAAATGACTCAAATCAGATGATAGACATTCTAAATTCTACCCGGCTCTCTTTTAAGTCATGCAACATGATTTATGTATTAGTCCTTTATGTTAATTTAATACATGGACGTTTCAAATATTTTCAAATAGGATAGACCCCAAAACTCCTTCACTTAACAGATCGTATTTGAGTGCATTGTTAGCAGCTCTGTCAGTGAGCGAAATAGACATAATTTCTTGTCTCACGTTGCTAAGGAGAAACCGACTTGTCCTCTTCTTTTTTTAATCAAAAGCAAATTACAAAACATTAGGCATGGTCTGATTGTATTTCCATATCAACAGCAGTAATCTCTGTGTTATGAGATTATAAACAAATTTTTTGATTATCTTTTCCTTAATTATATTTTCCAATTTTCTACAACAAATGTGAATTATTTGTGTAATATAAATTAATAGAGAAGTTAGTTTTTTCCATCAAAACCACAGTGTGAGAAGAGGAGCAGAAAGTATAGTGAATTGGCATCATATAGATAGAGCAGTTTAAGGTTATATTTAGGTTTTATGGCTGTACTTGACCTAATCTGTATAAAGTTTGGACTCTATAGTTATTCTTTATATCTCAAAAGGTATGATGCCATGTCATTGCCTGTTTGGAGGAAGGGTTGTCACATAGAAACTTCTGATTCCAAATTTCAAAGCAGCCTCAGCTGTTTCTTCAATTTCTGTATTCTTCCATCCATATTCTTACAAATAAATTGGCCAATTAAATATTCCCTATGAATATGGGAATACTTTGGTTCTCATCTCTTCCAGAACCAATTGACATTTAGGTAGATACATTCTTTTTTTCTTTTTTCTAAACATTTCTCTACATCGCAACTATGCGACTCCACCCAGTTTTACTTCCTTTTCACTGAATTCTATGCTTAATCCGACCTCTTCCTTATACCTGTCTCTTTTGATGACTTGTTAATTAGTGCTCCCAGAGCCAACATTACTTTGTCAAAAGTCTTCAGAGAAACTCCCTATTTCAGACACGTTCCATGTGTGCTTTCATACTGGATTTCTACTGCTGAATCTCATTCTCAGAGCAAAAAAGGTGCTCAGGCGTAATGTTTCTTATACAATATTGATAACCTTGTTGATATTTGATTACATGTTTTTCTCTAATGACTATTTTTTAAAAATGCGCCATTAGAGGAATATCAATTTATTTTAAATAAGCCAGTTATAACAGTCTGATAGTTTAATTTTTCTAAGACATGAATATTAGTCTGAGGGACTTATGTAGCCTAAATAGTGATTCTAAGGTGGCAAGATGGATTCTACACAAATAATCACAGCTTTACAACATGTCACAGATTTTTCTCTAAAACCTGTTTTGCACACTCTAAAAATATCTAAAGAATACATTTTTGTTTTTGAGAGAAATTTTGTTATAGGGCACATGCGCTCACGGGAGAGACAGAGACATAGAAACAGAAAGCGAGAAATCACCTCCCGGGGGGATGGCCACACTGCAATCCCTTTTCCTCCATTATCCTCTCAGGATTTTGAGCATGTATGCACACATGCCTAGCATGAGTTTTAAGCAGCCAGGTCCAGGATTTGAACTATAATCAACTGCATAGGATCCAGCAACATAACATTACGCCATCCGCTGGTCCCAAGAATACATACTGTTAATTAGAGCTCTAATATGACATCTTCCCCTTATATGGCTTTCTTCTTGTCAAAACAATTAAAAAGATTCTTTCATATCTAAAGGTAATAGTCACTTATGATGAACTAAATCCATTCTTTAGTAAATATGATAGACTCTAAGAATTGATTATTTTTGAATAATGGCTAAACATGTTAAAATGATATTCTAAATGTCAAAAAAAGAAAAACTATTCATGAAACAATATACTTTCTCATGTACCAAGTTCATTTTTGGTCATTTTCTTTTAAGATATGAATTTGCATTATAGAATGAAGTCCTCATTTTAAAAAGACATAGGCTAAAAATTAAGCATCGTGAATTTAACTCAAAATACCTAATTAAACTACCATTGCCTCATGTTTGTACTGAAACTACTTCAAGTAAGCACATTGCTATTCTGGCACAAACAACCATTCACTTTAATCAACTTACATAAATGATGTTGATAAAAATTACGGCAATTATATTATTCATGACTTCAAAACAATTCTTACTATGTAATTCTATCCCCACAGTCCATGCCAGGTATTATTTCCTAGGTTAGCTTTCCTTATAATTATATTTTGATACTGCTTCAGCAGTTAACTTGCAAAGCGTAAAACAAAAATGTAATTTTATTAGAACTTCATTTATAAACTATTTAAATTAGATGGATTTGAAAATTCTGTTATGTAATAAAAAGTATAAAAGCAAGATTCCAGTGCAAAATTCCCTGAATTTTATAAAAATACACTGTCTTCCATAGAGGACTTTAAACCACTGGAATGAGAATTGTGAATTAGGAGCAGAGAAGCTTAATAATTAAAAGGGTTGAATGTCCTCTACTTTCACCTTCTCTTTGAACTTTGAAAAAAAAAAAAAAGAGTGTGTGGAAAGGAACCCATTTTGAAAGTCTGAGAAGTTCTGAGGAATACTTGCAGTTTGCCAGCTGCTAATTCAGGATCTATAATAGCGTTACATTGTAAAGTACATTTTCCTAAATATCTACAATGGCATTCAGATTCTTTTATTATTTCTAAGAAAATGTGTTAATATTAGAAAAATTGCCTCTGGTTTTATTACTAGGGAACAAAACTGGTAGTATCCTTATGGGTAGTTACAAAAGAGATATTATACCTCATTTCCTTAACATTTGAGGTCAGTTGTATATTTATAGTCTTTCCCATTAAGCAAAATTTGCTGGTTCTGATTCTTTTTCTTTTAATATTCTGAAACTTTCCCAGTCTTCAAAAGGCCTCTAGACCTCAGACACTAACATATTTTTGACAGTGTCAAGAAATACAAACTAAATTCTAGAAAATAATCAATTAACAAAAAAATAAGAAGATAATCTAAAGCATTCTGTTAGGTTTTGCAGACTTATTCTCCCAAACCTTCTCTTTGAACTTTGAAAAAAAAAAAAAAAGAGTGTGTGGAAAGGAACCCATTTTGAAAGTCTGAGAAGTTCTGAGGAATACTTGCAGTTTGCCAGCTGCTAATTCAGGATCTATAATAGCGTTACATTGTAAAGTACATTTTCCTAAATATCTACAATGGCATTCAGATTCTTTTATTATTTCTAAGAAAATGTGTTAATATTAGAAAAATTGCCTCTGGTTTTATTACTAGGGAACAAAACTGGTAGTATCCTTATGGGTAGTTACAAAAGAGATATTATACCTCATTTCCTTAACATTTGAGGTCAGTTGTATATTTATAGTCTTTCCCATTAAGCAAAATTTGCTGGTTCTGATTCTTTTTCTTTTAATATTCTGAAACTTTCCCAGTCTTCAAAAGGCCTCTAGACCTCAGACACTAACATATTTTTGACAGTGTCAAGAAATACAAACTAAATTCTAGAAAATAATCAATTAACAAAAAAATAAGAAGATAATCTAAAGCATTCTGTTAGGTTTTGCAGACTTATTCTCCCAAATAAAATCCCATTTACCTGTCCATGATGTCCTGATTTTTGTTGTGGTGTTTGAAATAATGGTGGTGGTGATAATGATGATGATGACAATGATAGCAATGATAGAAATAAGAACCTCTGGTGTAGGTTTTGATCTGTGTGCTCCATCCAGTGTTGTTCGGTTGGTTTTTATGAGCTAGGAGAGAAGTAGAGAACAAATAAGATGAAACTTGTCTGACTAGTGTTAGTGACAGTCATATTTCTATGGTTTCAAGATAGGAGTCATCCAGGGAATGACAAATTTCCTTGACTTAGTTATTTGGAAAAAAATAATAGCCCAGATTGGGTTGGTCACCTAAGAGGTACACCCAAGAAACTGCTTTGTAGTAAAGAGAGGTAATCCTAACTTGGTGTTTTATCAATCCCATTATGCTGGTTTGTTCTTCTTCTATTGAAACAACTTATAACCAGGTAAAAGTTTTTGACAAATGACGTTTCATAAGGTATGAATTTTAATACAACTAATATTGCCATCATTCTGATACAGGTAGATTTCTACTTTATTATGGTTTATATTTGCATTTTACATATTTTAGGGGAAACTTGGTTTCATCTACTGACAAATGTATTCATACATTTAGCTTTTTTCTATTGGGTTGTTAATCTTCTCTTCTTATTGATTTATATGAGTGTCACATGTATACTGGATATTAATCAATTATGTCCACCTATTATTAATCATCTTTTTTCAGGGTGCAGCTTGGCATTTCATATTTAATTAAATATTTTCATTCATAAGAAATTTTTTATTCTTTCTTTGTGTGTTGTTTTTTCATTTCATTTTTTTATACATTCAATCACATTATTATTTGGCTTACAAATTGGATATTTCAACAAGTGAACATTTCTCCCTAGTACAGTTGATAAAACTACAAAATATCTTCAACAGATAATACCACATTTTTTGGTGCCACTAATGCTTTGCCTCCCTATTTTTCTTCTAACTGTCTTTGTGTGTGTATGTTTTTTAATTGCCAGAGGGTGTCTTCACTGGCCAGAGAGAGACAGAAACAAAAGACAGAGGGCAAGAGAGAGAGAAGGCACTCCCCATTGGGGTGTAGTCATGCTGCGATTCCTTCATTTCTCTATCCACTTGGGATTTGGGGCACATGCACATCATGTACACACACACACCCACACACATACACTCAGCATGCCTCTCAAGTGCTCTAGCCACTAGAGGTGGGATTTGAACTACAGTTGGCCCTATGGGAGCTGATTCCCTTAACCATTAGGCTACAAGTCCAGCCCTTTAAAAAAAAAATCTTAAGGATCATAATACTTTTTTTATTTTGTTCTAAGAACCATAAAATGTTAAGAAATTTTCCCCCTTTGTTATGTTTGTAATTTTGTTCTTCCTAATAGTTTTGTAAGACATTTTTATTTCAGAATTTATTTTCTCTACTGGTGTGTAATGCTTATGTCAGATCCAAAGACTCCATGTTTCCTAGTTCTCTATTCTGTTCCATTGATCTATTTATTTTTTTCCTCTGTCAGTACTAAATAGTAATTAAAACTTACTTATTTAGAAGTCAGAAAATGTTTTCTGTAAAGAGCCAGTAGTAAATGCCTGAAACTTTGCCAATAGAGTCTCCAATGCAACTACTCAATTTGGCAGTAGCTCCAGGAAAGCAGCCATAAATATTAAGTGAAAACAATGGGCATGATTAGTTTCCAATAGGTCTAGGAACAAGTGATAAGCCAGATTTGGCCCATGGAATATTGCTTGCTGCCCCTGCAGTAGATTATGATAAATCATTTTTTGGAGAGATTTTTTTGTTATAAAGTATGTGCACTTGCTGGAGAGACAGAAAGAGATAGAAAGCAAGAACTCCCCTCCAGGCCATGCTGCAATCGTTCTCCTCCATTCTCCTCTTGGGATTTGGGCACTCATGCCCACACACCCATCATGAGTCTCAAGCCACCAGATCTGTGACTCCAACCATGGTCAACCACATGAGAGTCCAGCGTCTTAACCATTACACCACCTGCTGGCCCACAATCTTATTTTTCTTAAAATTTATATTGGTAATATTTATTTTATTTTTAAGGTTTTTACCATAGGATGCGTGTGCTCACCAGAGTGAAACAAAGAGACAGTGAAAGAAAAGTGAGAAATTACATCCCTTCAGGAGGTTGACCACACTGTACTCCCTTCTCCTCCATTATCCTCCTGTGATTCTGGGCATGAATCTGGTGTGATTTTCAAGACACCAGGTCCAGGACTCAAACTGCAGTTGGCCATGTGGGAATCTAGTGCCTCTACCACCATGCCACCTGCTGACCCCTGTATTGATAATTCTTAACCTTTCATTCTGTCATATGCTTTTGAGGATCAGATTATTAAGTTTCATTATTTATTAACTGTTTTTAATAGGCTTTGTATTTTAGAACCATTTTAAGTTCTCAGCAAAATTAAGCAGAATGTATAGCGATTTTTCATGCATGACTCTTGGCCTCACACATACATTACCTTCCCTGTCTTATGAAAATTCTGCAGCAGAATGGTTCATTTGTTACAACTGATGAACCTAAACTGACACATCATTATCACTTGGAGTCCATAGGTTATATTAGGGTTCACTCTTGGTATTGAATATTTTGCAGGTTTATACAAATTTATATTGGCATGTATCCACCATTATAATATCATACAGAGTAGTTTCACTGCTCTAGGAGTCAACACAGGACTTTAAAAATATTATATTATTCCTTGATAAACTCTCTTCTGTCAGGACCTAGATCTCATAATAGCACAATCAGAAGTTCAGTTTTATCTGTACAGTCCATCATGACCCAGCTCTAGGAGATTGTTTCACATTTATTAGACTCATGACCAACATATCATTTTGTTAATTTAAAGTAAGAGCTACCCTTTTCTTTCTGTATGGAATGCATGAATCCATACTTAGGAAATGCTCAGGGAACCTGGGTAACTTTATCAATAGACCTGTTACATAGTAAGTCATGAGCATATATAATGCAACTTCATTTTTATGGAAATTTGTTGGTCATTCCCTGTAAATATTATGTTAAAACATCATTTTCATGCATTGGTAAATTTTTTGTCATTGAAGATACTATTTGATGGGAACCAGCAGTTGGGGTAATGGCTATGTCGCTGGACTCCCACGTAGTCGACCACAGTTCGCATCCCGGACCCGGTGGCTTAAAACTCACGCCGGGCACATGTGCATGCATGCCCAAGATCCCGAGAGGAGAATGGAGGAGAAGGGATTGCGGTGTGACCATCCTCCCTGGGGGTGATTTCTCGCTTTCTGTGTCTATGTCTCTCTCTCTCTGTCTGGCGAGCGTACGCGCCCTGTAGCGAAGAACCTCTCCAAAAAAAAAAAAAAAAAAAAAAAACTTTTTTTTTTAAATTTTTCAAAAAAAAAAAAAAAAAAGATACTATTTGATTACATATTATTGTCCTACTATGGAAACTGAAAGATTGACATGCCTCGCCAATTATAAACATTGACAAATAAGAATTGGCTTCTCTTCCTTAATTAGTTTAGATCAATAGATATATAGTTATCTTAATTATTCTCCCAGAATTGAATCACCTAGAGAGGCTGATTTTCTTTCAGGGGTTAAGCTCCAATTTCCAGATTAGTAGCGCCATCTAGAGTTCTACCTACGTGTTTATCTATGGAAAAAAAGTCCATTTTTAATAGCCTAAGACTGGCATTCATATAGTACTTTCTTCTTATTTATTTTTAAATATAGAATTACTTTGTAAAGGCAATATAATTAATTTTAAGAATTCTTTGCTACTTAGTTCTGGAAAACATTTGACTGAGTTATCTGGGTATTTCCCTCTATAGGTTGCTATACTCTTCAGGCATCCCCCCTTGCCTTCCTTCCTCTCCAACCTCGGAGCCTCATAGGCCCCCACCACAAATTGCCTTGAGGGCCATCAGGACTAATCCCATCTTGCCCTTCATACCTGCTTCTTTTTTTTTTAATAATTTTTATTTATTAATTTTAATTATTATTTATACATTTCATTGCTATACATCATTTAGATTGTAAAGAGACTTTACCCAGTGTGACACACACCTCAGTCCAGTCCAGTTGAGAACATATGCACATCCACATCGACAAATAATTAACCATATCCGCATCCCACAAATGCCTTACCTCTCCATTTTTTCCCCAAATTTATTTTCTTACATTCTTCCCCTACCCCACTCTATCCACTTTGGCTCTAGTGTCCATAATAACTTTTAATGCTCGTATGTCCTCCAGTCTTTCAGTCTTTGCATAGAGTGCTAACAGTCAGTATATGTTAAGCGGAGACATACAATGTCTCTCTTTTAGAGCCTGACTTGCTTCACTCAGCAACAGATCTTCCATATTTGTCCACTTTCTATCAAATTCCAGGGCCTTGTTGTTTTTTATGGCTGAATAGTATTCCATGGAGTATATGTGCCATAATTTTTATATTTTTTCAATCTATTCATCCATTCGTGGACATTTGGGTTGGTTCCATGTTTTAGCAATCTTGAATAAGGCTACAATGAATATAGATGTGCAAGCACTTTTCCAATTGAGCATTCTCCTGTCCTTTGGGTAGATACCCAGGAGTGGAATTGCTGGATCATATATGGTAGTTCTATTTGAAGGTCTTTGAGGAACCTCCATATTGTTCTCCACAGTGGCTGGACCAATTTACAAGTCCACCAATAGTATAGGACTGTTCCCCTTTCACAGCATCCCCTCCAGCACTTACCATTTTTTGTTGTTTTAATCATCACCATTCTGACTGGAGTTAGGTGGTATCTCATTGTGGTTTTGATCTGCATCTCCCTTATGATGAGGAATGTTAAACATTTCTTCATATGTTTTGTGACTGTTCATATGTCTTCCTTAGAGAGTTGTTTATTCAGCTCATTTTCCCATCTTTTAATTGGGTTAATCTTTTTTTTCTGGTTAAACTGCTTGAGTTCCCAGTGTATTCTGGTTATCAGTCCCTTATCTGGGGCACAGTTAGTAAAAATTCTCTCCTATTCTAAGGGTTGTCAATTCACACTAGTGACAGTGTCCTTTACTATAAAGAAACTTCTCAATCTGATATAATCCCACTTTTATATTTTGGGGATTATAGCCTATGTTTTGGGTGTCTTACTTAAGAAGTGAAAGAGAGATAGACAGAAAGCGAGAAATCACACAGAAGAGGAAAGGCTATGTAAAGACAGAGACAGAGAGACTGGAGGCTGTGGCCATAGTCAAAAAATCCAAGGGCAACCACAAGAGGCAGGGAACAGACTTCTGCAGAGGGCATGGCCCTTCTGACACCTGGATTTTGTCCCAAAATGAAACTGACATTAAGGTTCCAGTCTCTAGATCTGTGAAAGAATAAATCTCTTGCCTTAACCCACCAAATTTGTACTAGTTATAGAAAACTATAACAGTGGGAAAGCTGTGTTGATGAATCCCATAAAGGGACTTGCCCAATGACTAAAAACATATTGGGTATAAAGTTTTGTTAATCGAATGTGTTTGGGTGTTTCCTAATAGTGTTGGTGTTGTACATTACCATGAAACAGATATCTCAAAGGGTGATTCTCTTTATGGGATTCTCAAAGGGTGATTCTCTTTTTTAAAAGAATTATTTTATTTAACTTTATTTATTTAATTTATTTAATTTAATTTGACCAGGGAGGGACAGAATGAGAGAGAGAGAGAGAGAGAACGTGAGAAAGCAAGCCGCCAGATCCAGGACTCAAACTGTGGTCAGCCATGTGGGAGTCCAATGTTCTATCCACCATGCCACCTGCCAGCCCCGAAGGGTGATTCTAAGTGTCATGAAGCTTCAGGTTTCTTCACCATTGGAAACACCAGTTGGGGTATTTCTGTGGATCCTTATGTTTCCTTATGTTTCTACTGACCTGCATGAAGAACAATCTTTCCATGTTCTATGGCTATAGAATGTAGCAAGAAGTTGAGATATGAAACTATAAATGAGCGACAAAATTATGTTAAGTGTGTAACTTGGACCAAAAAAAAAAAAAAAAACCTAGAAGACTATGGTATGTATATAGAACTTTTTTGGTCAGCATGTGAACTGTTCACATAGTTTAGTGCTATTCTAATTATGTAAAAAGGAGCCTTGTGAAAACTTCTGTATTTATGTAAACAAATGCTTGCATGAAATGAAAAAATGTTGAGATCAAGTCATCACAAATTAGACACTGCCTTGGAGTATTTTGGTATTATTGACTAGGAACTGTCACTTTTTATTCCCCAAAAGATTTTATTGTGTCAGTATTTCAATAGAAGCATATTCATATAATGTTTAATTTTAGAAATTATAAACACTAGATAAAACATTATTGAAACTGTCCTTCTGTATCCCATACTTTTTAAATAATTTTTTATCTTTATTATTTATTTATTATCATTATTTTTTAATTTGACGAGAGAGAGAGAAAGTAAGAACGCAAACTGCCAGGTCTGAGACTGAAACTGTTGTTGGCCATGTGGAAATCCAGCACTTTTTCTCAGTCTTTTTGGTCAGAGGTTCTATCTTCTACATCTGAAATTCAATCTTCTGCATGATCTAGTCTGCTTTTGATATTTTCAAGGGAGGTTTTGCTTTCCTGTATTAAGCCTTCATCTCTTAACAATTCTGTTGTTAGAGATTTAGATGGCTGCTGATTGGCTTGTCCTAGCTCTTGGGTCCCGGGGGATAGGTTACCCTGTGTAAGTTCCTCCCCTAGAACTATGCAGTCATGGAAATTTCAGGGAATCCTCTACACTGAGCCTATGGCTCATGAGGTCTACTGGCTCCCCTGGCAGCTAGAACTATAATCATTCAGTGCAGTAATAGAGTCTTAGGTGATCTTTTGCTTATTCTTCTCCAGCAATGGGGAGTCTCTTCTGGCACTGTCTCTGGGCCAGTCTCTGCCAGATGTTTTGCTTCTTTCTATGATGTCATCTCAAGTTTCCGTGCTTCAGAAGGCTTCAGTCATTTCCTTGTTGGAAACCAGTGTTCCTCCTCAGACATTCTACCTTTAAAAAAAGTATTTATTTATTTATCATTTTGTTTCTTCTTTGTGAGAAATGAGCAGTGGGTACTTCTAGTGAGTCATCTAGATGACATCTTTTTTTTTGGAGAGGTTTTTGCTATAGGACACCTGAGCTCTCCAGAAAGACAGAGATAGAGAGACAAAAAGTGAGAAATCACCCTCCAGGGGGGATGGACATGCTGCAATCCCTTCTCCTCCATTCTCCTCTCAGAATCTTGGGCACACACACACATGCGCCCAGTTTGAGTTTAAGCCACAAGGTCTGGGACTCGAACCTCAGTCAACTACATGAGAGTCCAGCAACATAGCCATTATGCCAACATCTTCTAAAGAGCCACTTAGAATTAATGCTATCTCTGACCATTTATTTTTGAAATAGAAGAATGAGAAAGACTTTTTTCATGGCAATTTTTCTGTAACACTTCATTGTCAATAAATGTATCAGAGGTGGACAAATGTAAAAAATACTTCAATTGTCTCTTTATCTCACCTAGAGTACCCTGGAAGATTCAATCACAAATATTTATTAAAATTGAATTGCGAAAATTTTGTTAATCATCATTTTCTCTACTTAACTTCCTGCATCCCTTGTACTGTATTTTTAAAAATAAAGCATGCCATTAAACAATCATTATATGGAACAGTAACCAAGGGTTTTGGATTAATTTACATGGATAGGTGAAGAGGTTTGTCCTTGAAAAGATGATCATGATTTAGTAATTCAAATGTTTCTTCTATATAGAAGAGAAAAATAAATAGTATATTAAAAATAAAGTCAGACTATCAATACTTACCAAACTCTAGGGTTGATCTTTCAACTTTAAAATTTAAATTCGCAAGTTCTGAGCCACTGCTACAGTAAAGCCTTTCCTGAAGACCAACAGCCTACACATTCCACATCCCTGAGACACGGCAGATATGCATCCTGTCCATGCAAGCTGCTGCAGATGCCACCCCAGCTAGAGTGAGCAGTAAGGCTGTGACGCTGGCACCCAAGCCCATAGTGTCATGTATTGAAGTACATAAATGATATGATGTATCACATTCATTGATTTATGTATGTTCAGCCAACCTTCATCCCTGAGATAAATCCCACTTGATCATGATATAAAACTTTTTGATATGCTGTTGGATATTACTTGCTAATATTTTGTTGAAGATTTTGCCTCTATATTCACCAGAGACATTGGTCTGTTGCTTTCTCTTATTCTTGTGCCTTTGTCTTATTTTGGTACAAGGGTAATGATAGCCTCATAGAATAAGTTTGGAAGGTTCCTGCCACTTTAGTGGAACCTTTTTAATAATTTCTTCAGTCATAGTTATAGTAATCCTAGTACATTAACTTAAAAAAATGTACTTTTTAACACTTGAATGCAAAATTTTGCCATAGGGCGGGTGCCACCACGCCCAAATGCAAAATTTTGAACCCTACTCTTGTAAGTTATTCTCAGAAGCCAAACATAAGAAAGTAAGTTGATAAACTTAATAGAAGAGTGTAGAAAAATTTGTATACCTTTTTGAGTGTGAACAACTTTTACATATGACACAAAACTTAATAGTCTGACAACCTAATGTGAAGTTGTGAGCCAGCCTCATAGATAGTGGTTAATCGCTTGAATTGGGAGCCAGATCCCACATGACTGACTGTGTTTCAAATTCCAGCCCCAGCAGCTTGAAAAGCATGCAGAGTTAATGTATGTGTGCATTGGGGTCAGCAGGTGGCATGGTGGTTAAGGCGCTGGACACTCCCACATGGTTGACCATGGTTTGAGTACCAGACCTGGTGGCTTGCTTTCTCACTTTCCCTCTCTCTCTCTCTCTTTCTGTCTGTGGTCAAATTAAAAATAAAATGAATGAATGAACTAACTAAATAAATAAATCTTTAAAAAAAAATGTATGTGTGCATGTGTGTATGCATGCCCCAAATTCTTATAAGATGGAGAAATGGAATCAAGAGGATAGCAGTGTAACTATACCCCACTGTGAGATAATTCTCTCTCTCTCAAGCCCACACTCTCTGACAATTTAGAAAAAAAAAGCAAAATTGCAATATGATAAATATAATTTATATAATGTTAAAAGCAAGTGACAGATTGAAGGAAAACACTTACTGAATATATAAAAGAAAAAGAATTAATATTGTTAAGAGCAAAAACTTGAGATCAGTTTTAATTTAACAAAGTTTATCTGAGCAAGAAAAATGTCATAGAACCAGGCTGCATTCTTGACCAAAGATGCTTCAAAATTTCCCCACCAATCATGCAGTGAGCTACACTTATAACTAAAAAGACAAGAAATAACTACAAAGATTACTCAACTGATGCAGTTAAATGTTCCACTTATTTGGGAAAAATTTGGCAGTCATCAGCCTGGGATTGGTTGACGATTTGCCTACAGTTGGCTGAGATTCAGTCACTTGGTTATAAGGGTATATTCTCAGGTTAAGTTATAACTTGTTTAGACAGTATGTTGCAGCATACTTTGGGTAAAAATTTTTTAATTTTTTTAATAATTATTTTAACTTTAATTATTTTGTTTGTTTGTTTGATTATTTATTTATTTATTTTAATTTGACTGAAGAGGGACAGAGTAAAAGAGAAAAAGGGAGAAAGCAAGCCGCCAGGTCTGGGACTTGAACCATGGTCAACCATGTGGGAGTCCAGTGCCTTAACCACCACACCACCTGCTGGCCCCTTTGGATTAAATTTTATACTAGAGTATGACAGACAATGAATTCAATTTAACAATATTCATAATATATAAAGAGATCCAACACATTAATATGAAATAGGCAAATAATGCTTTAGCTAAATATGAGCAGCACTATAGATGGGCAATTCACAGAGATAAAATGAACAATAATTCTTTGGGAGATGATGTGCCCTTAATTGAGTTGAAAGAAAAAAAGCTTAATACTTAAGAAAATTAAAATTTAAAAATTAGAAATTTTTTTATTTATCAAATTTATTTATCAAATCAGGGATAAAGGAGTCGAAAATGAGCAGAGTTGGAGCAAATGCATGAAAGTGGTATTATTATGCGTTACGTAGTTTGTTGAAATCTATCTACAGAGTTATTTTGCAGTACATACAAAATACAAGAGTAGCATTTCTAGATATAGCTCCTACAGAATATTTTTAAATTTTCATAAAGACGTATTGCAAGTATTGTGGCATAAACTAATGGCTATCTGATAAGACAGCTACATACCTTGTGTTGTACTTAGATGTGACCATGTGACTAGATTACTCTCCAGGAATTTGTGAGTATAAATAATGTACAGGGCTTTTAGAAAAGCAAGTGTGGGGCCAGCAGGTGGCGTTGTGGTTAAGGCACTGGATTCCTACATGGTAGACCATGGTTGGAGTCCTGGACCAGACAGCTTGCTTTCTCACTTTCCCTTTCTTTCTCTCTCCATCTTTCTCTGGAGAGCACACATGCTCTATAGCAAATTTTAAAATAATAATAAGAAGAAATAAAATAAAATAATTCTTTTAAAAAAGAAAAGAAAGTGTGCCTCCTTCATAAATTCTTTCTCCTTCTGCAGGCTGAATACAAAAAAATGGAGTATCCGTAACAGGTGACAGTTCCCAAAGATGCAGGAATCCTAGTGCTTAAACACTTTGTGGAGAAGGCCATAGGCTGACCTGCCTTGGATACCATGTGAGTAATACAATTCTATTCTGTTTGAGTCAATATGCATTTTTGGTCAGTAGGTTATATTAGCTTCGTGTAAGCTAATGAATGCAAATCTGTTCCCTGAAACCTTCTCTTAACTAGAAGAAACTGGAGAGATCTAGAGTGACCATCAATATAAGACTTTTAATTAAATTATAATGAGTCTAACTGATATTTCAGTAGATAAAAGAATGTACTAAGTTAAT